AGATGTAACTTGGATCAACGCTTGGCGGACTATGTGAGCAAGCAGAAGGCTGGCTTAACCTCCACCAGTTGGTGGCGCAAACATCAGCGTCGCCCTCAACACCATGGGTGTTAAACCGCAAATTAGGCGAGGCTATGGTGAGGGTCCCCTTGTGGGATGCCTCGTGACATGCCTTGGGACTTGTCGGTCAAAATGTGCGCGACATCCCCGGATAGATTAGACCTTGCAGTTTGGAGACTTCAGACCTTGCATCTTGCTGTTGCAACTTGCAGTGTTTAGCCTTTCCCTCGTTCCAGTGATTGGATTGGCCGATCTGTTCCTGAGGTTCGGAAGACGACGCCTGGCTGCCCTCGTCGCCGACGGGTTCCTTTTGAGGCGTCGAGTGTCGCCTTTCTCACCGCAGTTGGACTCTGGAGACGGACGTGGGATGTGGGGAACCCCCAAAGCGACGGTTGTTGACCCCGCCCTTTGCTCTCGAGAGCTGGTTTCAGGCACAAATGATGACAACTTGTCAGGTCGAACGAAGTATGGATGCTGTATGATGCTGTATGGACACAAACTCCACCTAGTATGGGTTTTCTGGGGCTTAAACCCAGTACCTGCCAAATATGAACCGGATGGGCCAGGGAGGCTAGCTTGAGAGGGTTCCATGTTGAGTGTGTTCATTTCGGATCGAACGCATGACGCATGCAAGCGGCAAGTCGAGACAGTCTTGATCCTATGTTTGTGTCATATCTCTCACATCTCACCTTGGTCATTACGCAAGTTTTCCTAAGCAACTCAGAATCGATTCAATCATGTGTCAGGATGTTGCCCTGACAAGATGTTGCCCTGACGCCTGGAAGGTCCGGTCCCAACGGTCGGTGCCGTGGCTGGACGGTCCGGGTGTCTCCCACGAGGAAAGCAACGCTTTTATATATGAATCCTACACCATGGGCCCCGGTCTGCAGGACTCGGAGGTCTTTTTGAGGTGGAAATACGGAAGTGCTTCCCCCCCGCTCTTGCTTCAGTGGGATTATTTGGGCACATGGCCATACAAAGGTACGATGACCGGAAGCTTTGTCATGCCTTTTCTACCTTGGAAAAGAGCTTCTCAATCTTCTTCTCTTTTAGACTTCTCTGGATCGGGTGAACTCAGCGCAGGAGTCTTCCAAGATGCAAGTGTGCGCGGCGAACGTGCAGTCGAGGCTAGAGGCGCTGAACGGAGAAGAACCGACTTCTCGATGAGTTTTTGTTGGTATGTGTTGATCAATGGAATCAGCACAGATTGAGCACCCCAGAAAGCTGAATTGTGTTGAGTTCTTGAGATTGCTTCTTCATGGACGGGTGAATTTCTTATGCCTCGGTGTACTCAGAATAGGAGAAGACACATGGTGATCATGCATTTCAGCTGTCGGGCTTTCAGGGGATTGGTCTTCCCATCTTTGCACATCATGGGCAACAACATCCAGACTTTGGTCAAGAAGTTGGATGGGGCTGAAGAAGTTGCCAGGGCCTGCGAAAAAACTGGCCAACAAGACCAGCAATAGCAAGCAGGTCAGGATGGCAGCCGTTGAAGCAGGTGCACTGGTCGAACTCGTTCATGTGATGAAGCAGCATCAGACAAACTGCTTGGTGCAAAGCCGTGCAAGCTTCGCTGTGGCGAGCTTGTGCATTGAGTCCGAGGAGTGCAAAGCTTCGGCCTTCTCTTCGGGAGCAATGGACCTGCTGGTTCAAGCACTGCGCGACCATGCTGGAAGTGCTGAGGTGCAAAGGTACGCCAGCTTGGCAGTGCGTCGATTGTGCAAGGGCTCAGAGGAGCGCAAGGCAAGGGCCTTTTCTTTGGGAGCACTGGATCTGCTGGTGCAAGCAATGCGAGATTTTGCAGGGGATACCGAGGTGCAAGAATACGTGTGCTTGGCAGTGTGTAGTTTGTGCAGTGACTCTGAGGAGCGTTCATCAAAGGCTTCCCTTCTGGGAGCCTTAGACCACCTGGTGCGAGCAATGCGAGACCATCCAAGAGATGCTCAGGTGCAAAAATTTGCTAGCTTATCTGTAGGCATGTTGTGCATTTGTTCTGAAGACTGCAAGGCCAAGGGCTTCTCTTTGGGAGTGCTTGACCTGCTGGTGCTGGTTATGCGACTCCATGCTGGAGATGCCAGAGTGCAAAGCTCTGCAAGCTTAGCTGTGGGAAACTTGTGTAGCTACTCTGAGGAGCGTAAGGCAAGGGCCTTTTCTCTGGGAGCCCTGGACGCACTGGTGCAAGCAATGCGAGAGCATCCAAGAGAGGTTGAGGTGCAACACTCTGCGAGTCGGGCTTTGGGAAACTTATGCCGTATGCCTGAACTGTGAGGAGCGCACAGCGTACGCTTTCTCGTTGGGAGCTATTGACCTGCAGGTGAGAGCAATGCAAACTTATGCACGCGATGCTGAAGTGCAAGAAAGTGCAAGCAAGGCTTTGGGAAGCTTGTGCAAGGGCTGCAAGGCGCGGAGGGACGAAGCTTTGAGCCTTGGAGGTCTCACTTTGGTGATTCAAGCCCTGAAGGGCCACCCTGAACAGGCCATTTTGCAAGCGCATGGCTGTTTTGCGTTGAGCATGATGTGCTGGCAGTGTCACAACAGCAAAGCAGAGGCTTTTTCTTTGGGAGGCATTGAGCTTCTTATCAAGGCCATGCAAGACCACCATGGCAATTCTTCTGTGCAATTCTATGCAAGCAGTGCCTTAGCAAGCATGTGCCATGGTGCGGAGGAGTGTAGAAGGAGAGCCCTTGCCTTGGGAGCCCTTGAACTTCTCCTGCAAATCCTGCAACATGTCACAGATCCAGGAGTTTTGACCAGATGCAGCGAGGCTGTTGGATCCATTTGCTTCGGTTTCAGTACAGCTGCTTTGGAGCGCCAAGCACATGCCATCGGCCTTGGCGCCTTTGATCTCATCGTCAAGGCTTTGCCCCGTGCTCCCTGCAGTTCAGACTACATTTGCTTCTGGGCCTTAGGATGTCTTTGTTCCGGAAGTGATGAGGCTGCCGTGGCCTGCCGCCGCCGTGCTGTGGACTTGGGTGTCTTGGAGCAAGTGCAGCTGATGCTGGAGCATGAAATAGATTTGCAGGAAGAAGGCAGAGCTGTGCTCGATCTCTTCTTGACGACGCCCACAGGCGAACAGGCAGCAAAGACAGCTTCACACCAGCTGGTCACCGCCAGCTGTGAAGGACCAGTTTGTGTAGAGGAGGCAAGTGCTTCAAGCAGCGGACATCAACTGGGAGACCAATGAATTCAATGATCCAATGAGCGGAGAGTAGCGGGACCCAAAGACCCTTCCAGGAGGCACAAGGAGTAGCCAGAGTCAGAGCTTGAAAAAGCTTCACCAGCGTCGCCTCCTTCATTCAGATTGAGGCGCCGCAGGTGTTGATGGATGGTCCTTGAAGGGTGCTCCAGTTTCGCACTGTCCTCGTGCAGACACAGACAGATGGCAAGGAGAACAGGCCCAAACTTGGATGCATCACGATCATGCAGTCAACAAAGTGCCCACACATTGACATCCTCAACATTGACAATGCATTTTCCAGAACACTGGGGCATGTGAAACTGGGGCCCATCCAATGCCCCTTAATGGGCTTGGTTTGTTTCGCCTTCCAAGATCGGTCAACCCTTTGTGTGGAGCTTTGGGCAGACGTCGGGATGAGGTCGCCGCTGGCGGTCTGGCGGTCGTCCGTGTGGAAGTCACGCGCGGCACTTTCCGATTTGCTCTGAAGTCTTTTTTCCCCTTTGTTTCAATTCTCATGTACAGTCTTCGAATTCTATAGACCCGCGTAAAGCGCGAAGAGCAGCAGATCCCTGTCTAGCAGAGAATCTGTTTGTGGGACAAGAACGGTGCGATGTGCTTGAACCCATTCACTTTTGCAAGAATCAATGCCCTGTTGTGGTGGCTGATGCAACGCATGTTCGGCACATTGCTTTTGCGCCAGCCGCGCCTGACAGGGAGCACCCGACTATGCCAAGCAGGTGAAGCCGAAGCTCCAAAAGCGAAGAAACCGCTGGGCGACTCAGCTTGGTGCTGATCGGGTGCACCCAGTTGAGCTCAAACCTTGATCGTTTGCTGTAACCCTTCCACTGAGCCGTTTGCTGAACCCCAAGTGCACAAAGTCTGTGAAAAGTTCTTTTGCCTGCAAAAGAGAAGGAAACGCAGCTTCAGAATGGAACTAGCTTTCCAACAATCTCACAAAAGACCCGTTTGAGGCCACGTCCTTGGTAATGCTGCCTGTGAGATATTTCTCAGTCAGATGCTTTTCCTGCAAACTGGTGACGGATTGGTGGTGACATTTGTTCTGGTATTCCTGAACGCCGCTCTCGCCCAAAGATTTTTCAAAACTTCCCAGAACAGAACACTCTAGATGCAGCAGTCCACCTTTGGTTCATTCCTCGGTCAGCAGCGACCTCTCCAAGAAACAACCTTTGAAGTCCCCAAACCTGTTGCCTGTGATGGGATTTTAAGCTGCCGCTGCAGGTGGATTCTGCAGAAGTGTGCGCCAAAAGCAACGCCACCGCGGAGAAAAGAGAGATCCTTCCAGAGGAAGATCGGCCGCGCCGGGTGTGTCGAGGTGCGCGCAGAGAGAGAGAGAGACGCGCAGAGAAACCTTCCGTTCGTCACGAGGCTTCGCTCGTGCGAAGACGACGTCAGACAGCGTCGTTCGCCGGCTCGGCCGGGAAGGCCGAGTGCGCGGAGGAAGCTCCCGATGGCACATCACATTTGACATGAGCCATTGGCACAGTCCAGGTGTTCACCTCAACCGCCTGTTCACTTGCTTGCCCAACAGGCGAAAGTCTCGGGGGTCATTTGCCTGGTGACCGCTTGCAGAGTTGGCCCGAGACGATGCAAAGAACCACCGTCCCACCGGTGCTTGTGAGCTGTCACTGCTTTTGGTCACTGGTCGAAGCCACCACACCTTGATGTCAGAGTTAAACCAAGCATCAAAGTTTGTTGGAGACCGATTGTAAGCTGGGCAAAGGTCGAAGTCGAATCGGCATGGCCGCCATGCTTCAGGTTCCCCGCTTTAGGCATGAACGAGGGGAACCTGCGCGTACAGCCCTGCTGTGTTGCCACCCGGCGACCTGAGAAACGCCATGGGAAATGCCATGGGAAACCTTCTCTCCGAGTGCAAGAGGTGCGCCCGCCTGCTCGTGGAAGACAACTTGTTGGTTTGTAGTATCGGTTCGGAGGCTTACGACATGGAAAGGCTTCTCACACTAGGGAAAACACTGCCTTCTATTTTTTCTATGTTCCATTTTGTAGCACTTCATTCTACGCAAAAACATTTTCATTTGCTCCATGACATCGTCGGAGAAGACATCGTGCTTCCTTTTCTGTGTTCAGTCCACTTGATCAAGTCGAACCCAATAATCGGGATACTTTTTCGGTTGGTCGTGCGGTCTGCAACTGTTGAGCCTGAACACCAGAGACTTATTAGAGGTTATATCTCCTTGTATATAAGTGTGAATCGGACCTTTTGGGTTCCTCCTGCCATCGGACACCACCTGCGCCCCACAGGATGGGGAGCACACGAAGATCCCCACCCTTTTCTTCGCCCCTACGGGGTTGGCACTCCTCCTGGTCCGGTGGCGTCGCTCTCTCGACCGGACCTCAGGTGCTCAGCGCTGGTGGACCACTGCGACCTGTGTCCCGCCACGGTGTCCGGGGGCCCCAGAGTCCACCGGAGTCCAGGGGCGAGGCGAAGAGGACGAAGGGTGGTGGGTGGGGCAAGACTGGGTTTCCAATCGAATGGTGGGACAGTGACCATGTTCTGACGAGTTTTGGGTGGAGCTTTCAGCATGTTCTCAACGGGTCCCCAACTCTATGACTTGGAGGCTTGGAGGCTGGAGAAGCTAAAGGCGATAGCTTCTTACTGGTCTCTTCAGTTTTCGTCCCATTGTACGGATGTGAGGCAGTAGTATTGGGATCGCAAAGGGACATGGATTCTGATTCTTCAATGCCTGCCTTTTTTCTATTCGTCCCAGGTCCCTGGTTGCCTCGTCTAAATTTGAGACGTCTGTGTCCCGATGTGAGGCGTCAGCAGACGGACGATGAGCCTGCACTGGGTAGGCGTAGTTTTTTTGGAAGCGGAGGTGGCGGCGCCGGTGGCGGCAGATCTGGGGGCACCCCAGTTGGAGGTGATGTATAGGACTGGCATGTTTTTTTTTGTTTGGAGTGTGTCAAAACCTGGGGCCCTCTGTTTGGGGTGTCCCTTCACGGGCCCTGGTGACCTGGTGGTGATTCGGGTTTGCATTATCGTAAACATATGTAAACTAAGATCCCACAAAGGACACCCCCACCGGGGTGTCCATGAACCACCCCGACTGTGGGTGCCTGGTTGGATTTCCATCACGGAACCAACGCGAGGTTTCGTGGTCTCTGCTCTGTGACCGCCGCATTGGTCGTCCCGGAAGTCATCAAGATAGTCATCAAGATAGTATCCCTGGCCTTCCAAGACCACTTCGATAAAGGGTTGACCTGGTTTTGTAGTCCAAAATTCTCAGTAAAACAATGGTTAATGGATGTCAATGGTTGTTTCGGGATTCCAACCATTGAATCAAATGGTGCTTGGATTTGCTCAATAAGTTCTTGCCCCAACCCATGGTTGCAGGTTTTCTTTTTCTTCGCCTGGCACGGAGTCCGGCCCGAAGGGGTCGTACGTCCGACTTTCATGTGTTTTGAGGAAGCCAAGGAGTCTGAAAGGTGGAGAGACTCTTGATTTCTTGATAAATAGTCCTACAAACTGCTGGGAACCTCACCAGAAATAAGAGGGTGACTGTTGCCTGTCCTTGCGCAGATGATCTCTCTCGCGGCCCCTACTTTGGCTCACAGAGAGACTTTCGAACAGTTCCTGCGGGATCAGGCCCCAAGTTCAGAAGCAGATGAAGCTGTTGCATTTGTCTCCCCGCCTCCAAAAAGGGGCTTTCCTCTGAAACCCTCAGAGCAGGCACAGAAGCGACCTAATAGAATGCAGGGCGGTTTCACAGCATTCACAGCGTTCCACACGTTTGGCCGCCGGTGGAGTTTCGTTTGTGGTGTTTGGGCCGTTTTCTTCCGCAGCCCCTGGAACCCAGGTGGGGGGTCTCTCTCGGGGCCGCGGCAGGGGGAACGCATTGGAAGGAAGCAATTGCACTCGGGGTCAGTCCTGGAGGATTTTGATGAATCCTGGGAAGTTAGACTACTCAACAGTGATGATAAACAGTCCCATGATTTGGAACGATTTGGGATGTGTCGAGAAACAGGTGGACCCAAATCCTCGATGGTCTATGTACTTGGACATTGGTGTCAGATGGGTGTCAGAAGGCTTCATAGACTTTGCAGGTCCAGGTTTCGATAATGCAAAAGCGCTGTTTGAGGCTTCAGGAAGAAAATTTGTGGAATCGTTGCCATCGTCTCTCATGAGTTGGTCAGATTGTAGAAAAAAAACATGAGTCATGACTCATGACCAGACAATGTACTCTTCCAAACTGAACCGTAGCAACCACCTACTTGCCAACTCATCCACTCAATTTCACTCATCTCTCCCAAATCACTTGCTAACTTACGGTTTCTCTATGTCAGAATCGACACGCCCCCCCCAGACCAGACCCTGCCATCTCCAAACAGTGTGGGATCTCTCCAGGTTTGCATCTCCAACGGACAGCGGGATGCAGGACCACGGCCAAGTCGGGTCCGGAGCAGGGTCAGTCGAACGGAAAGCTGACAGGTCCCAGAGCTGATCTTTCCACGGACATCAAAAGCTCCAGAAGGGGCACACTTGTTTTGCACCCTTTTGCCATTGGTTACCCTGCTCTGGTGGGAGGACTAGCCCCAAACCAATTCTGGCGGCAATCAACCTGCAAAGGTTTTCTAACAGGTTTGACTCGGCCCATGTCGCTTTGGTCAACATTTGGTGTCTAGGACCTAGGATCTGCGAAGAGCCTGACCTTTGAGCTGTCCTGGACACAGGTAGAATTCAGCACAATCCTTTGGATTCCTTCTTCCGGGCTTCCCAGGGTTGAGGGGTATGTTGTGTTGACTTTGGAAAGAAAGAGGAACCCTTTGGCTGAATTCTGTAGCCGATTCCCTCTTGGTCGGGGTGGGTTCGAAACCCACGGCCCCAGGGCGGCAAGAAAGGCCGAGGGCCGAAGGCGGCACCGAGCATCGAACGGTTGAGTCGTCTGGGGGGACGAACGGGCAGAGATTTGCTTTAAATACCAAAGCGAGACATGTTCTTGGACAAGAACTCTTCTAACTCTAACTGTCCAAAGCGAGACATGGTTTTAACTCTTCTTGGACCAGAGCTCTTCTAACTTCTAACTCTTCTTCGGTAGGGGTTGGTGGGAGCGAGCTGGAGAGCTACAAGCAGGAACAATGCTGGTGAACGACTTCCAGTTTCCAGCCTGCGGTTGCAGTTCACGGTCCAAGGTCCATTTACACATGTTTACATCAACACACTCAGCATGCCCTTTTGGCGGGAGACACTTCACCAAGCCACACTATGCACCACGAGTCTCAGTGCCCGTGGCCGTCTCATGGCCGTCTCGCCATGGTGCGTGGGTGCGACGATAGAGTTTGTCAATGCACGGTGAAGTCCATTCCGTGCAGCGTGGACAACCCACGGCAGCGACACCATGGTTCACAGTTGAGGATGGTCTTCGATGGCTCTTAGAACCCCCTGTGGTTTCTATGGTATGGTTTGCAAGTATGTGTTTCTTTTCTGGCTGAGTTGATGCCCTCTTGCACCCGCTGCGCAAGTACTGTTGGGAGCGACTAAACTCAACACAGCAGACCCCACAGCCCACACCAGTGGATCCTGAAATCCAGAGACGAAGCGAGCGACCAACGGAGACGAACTCTCCGGGGGATCCACTCCGGTGATCCAACCCAAGACCGCCTTCGCCTCTCCGGCCAGGTGGGGATCACTCAGACCACTCAGATCCCAAATAAGCCCAATCTTCACTCGGACCGGCCGCCCTCTTCCTGCCCGAACCACGACACAGGGGCAGTCCGGCGGGCCGTCTGGACGGTCCCCGGCGGTGGACCCCAACAAGGAGCGTTTGACTTACATGTTAGCACGCTTGGAGCCCCAGTCTGTTTTCTTCTTTTCTTTTAGGGTTGGGATGGGCTTGGGAGGTGGGTGAGATCTTTCCAAAAGCCAGAAAAGCTTTTGACCCCCCCTATTTGTGTGGAGATGTGTGAGAAGGGTCATTGCCTTGTGGAAGATGGATTTAATTCTATCGAGCTGGGGATCAATATATATACAGTACAGATCAGTACAGTATATATACATATATGATAGATATAATATGATAGTAGATCTAGAAGTCTCTGTTCTATTTTCAACGTCGCGACAGCAGAACCAAGACCGAGCGAGTGAACCAAGCCAGTGAACCGTGGTCAGTTCGGCGCGTGGACCTCCCCACGGTCTGGGCGGTTGTGTAGGTGCATTCCAGAAGCGATCTTCTGGGCGTCGAAACCAAAAGGAAGATCCAGGACAGGCAGGTGGCATGATGGTCAAGTTCAAAGAGCTATGAGATGGCACCCTATTTTGGAGCCACAGCCTTCTCAAATAGGCCCCACCAAAAGCCACACCGTGTTTTCAGACTTAAAAGCCACACCGACCCTCTTTCGTCCCAACCACCGGTCAATGTCTGGTCTTCCTTTCGGGTGAAAATCACTGGTGAAGGCTGGGTCCATGTGGATTTGAATGGGGAGAGAACTTCTGGCACAATGCGTAGACTGGTCTATTTTCCTTCTTCTATTTTCAGACACCTGCACCCATGCGATGGCCCGATACTGGTCACCCTTCGGCTCGGGAAGCACGCGAAGCCACGCGAAGCCACGCGACGCTTCGAGCTGAGGCCTGCATGGGCAGATGGTCACGGTGAAGCTGAAGAATGGCCAAATGTGGGAGGGCATCTTTCATGCCTGTTCCAGTGAGGGCCCGATCCCCAGATTATTTCTTGGGTGCAAAAAGAAGAGCAACAACAAGCAACAACAAGCTGTAACATTTCTTTTGGATTTGGACAGAGTCTGGGACCATGCGAAGGGGAGAAGAGGAATAGGACATTTTTCACATGCCACATGCGGAGCACAGCCATTGGATCCTGTTCGTGACTGCCACATGCTTATGTGACGGAGCACTGCCAGGCGATATTGCCATTACCCTGAAGATGGCCAAACAACTTCCCACCGGCCGTGGCAAGAGCGGCGAGGCGTTGGGGTGCAGGAAGCCAAGGCCTAGAGGTTTGTACATTACGAGGCTGCGAGGGTGTGTGCTCCACCCTACTAGTGTATGCCACCAATCATGGGCCAGGTGTGGAACAGGAGACGTTCTCTTCAAAGGATTGCTTGTATGTGGAGCGGTCTTGATATCACACAAAAGATCCAACTCGCGACGGCCAATGGCCTCCATCCTAAAAGCGGTGGCCTCCACCTTACTAGCGATGGCCTCCACCCTACTAGCGATTGCCTCCAACCCAAAAGAGATGGCCTCCACCCTACTAGTTCCTAGTTCTGCAACGAGTGTCTCTGGATCGCCTTGATGCCCTTTTGGTTCGATAAAGACTTCCATCCACCGGTGAAGGGACCCCTTTGGGGGGCCAGAGAAGCTGGGCCAGCGAAGGGAGGGACGTTGGGCACCCAGGGATTCATGGGAAGGGACATGTAAAAAGCAGGAGTCCAGGAGTCATGGGCCGCGAAGCAGGGGTGTGGGGGTGGCTCACGACGTCGAAACTTTGGAGGCGAAGGAAGAGTAGACAGATGGAGATGTTCCCTGAAACCATTCCCCTTGGTAACTGATAACACGGTGCTTTTCGGTTGCTCCGCCTTCGCCGGTGCCTCGCCATGCTTGGCAACCCTGCGTAGCCCGTGCGAACCGGTGCGAAGCCGCCGCCAGCCCTTGGACACCATGGTGATCAAGGGCCCGGACTTCTCTCAGGCGCGAACCCCACCCTTTCGCCCCTCCCCAAACCTCTGCCAGCTTGGGTGGCGAGGTGGCAAGGTGGCGGTCCGCGCGCTGGCGAAAGTAGCATGGCTGCTGTTTGCCCTGACACGGTGACAGAAAAAGAAAGGATCCCTTCTCTTCG